TACATGCAAAAGAATTAAGGCCATTCTTCTTTGAAGAATGAAATAATCACTCATAGGATTGCAGGAGCTCAAGCTGACTCTATTGTTTATCTCATCCTTTTAACTTTTATAATTTTTAAAGTGCTTGCATTTCCATTATTCCAGTAGAGAGTCTGTAGTGTGGGCTTGACCTAGATGTTCCTCCATGAGGACTTGTAGGCAGTCATTATGTGGATTTGCTGCTTATTGGCCATTAAAACGATCTTGTTTTCTTGCTACATTCAGCTTTGAAGGTTCTGGACAATGTGCTATCTTTACTGTACTACTTTATCTGGCCTTTAAATTTTTTTTTTCAAGATGTAATTCCCAAAATGTAAATCAATCAACTTATATTGAATTTACCATGAATGTGCTTGGTGTGGAAGAATGTAAATAGCCCTGATGATATTGTGTAAAAACATTCATGATTACTTTTGTCAGAAGAGATTATTTGAATATTAAAATAGGAACCACATAGATTTAGTTTGCATTAGTGAAGTTCATTTGGTGCCGACTATGTCAATAGTCGGAGTTATTTTGTCATCTCAGTAACAAAATTTTTCCCCAAAGTATAACTCTTGTAATGAGGCTAGGTCCTGAGTGATTTGAGATCATAACTTATAGACCAAACATACAAGGAAAATATTATCAGGTCTTATTTGTGGTCAGTGAAGTTAAAAATTAAAATGGTTGGATTTTCTAATTATAGTTTATAAAATAGAATCAGAATATGTAAATGATCTGTATATGATATCATCTTAAAACATTGCTAAATACACTAATAATTGCTTCCTTAAAATGTATTTCTAATATCTCCAACTCATATTCTAATTAGTACCCACAGTTATATCTTTGAGGTGGTATAATATGGGTCTTGTTTCTCTTACCGGATTGTGAGCTTTTTAAGGATGGAAAAAACCTTTTGTTTTCTTCCATAGGTCCCTTTAGCAGTTTTGCATCTATTGAGTGTTCTGCTGTTGGTTTTTGACTGAAACCTATGAAATGCAAAACCTGTGCCTAGTTCTGTGTTTAAAAAAAAAAAGGCTATTTTAAGCAGCGCAATTCCACCTGAGTCTTATCATGTAAATGAGGACATCGTTAATAGAAATTTCAGAAGCATCACTTTTTTTCCATAATTTAAAAGTGATTTAGGAAAAAAAAAACTTTCAAAGAAAGACTTTTTCTCATACATAAATAAATTTGAAGAACACTTAAGAGTTTTACTTAATATATTTGATGTCCAGTTTTAGTCTTGAATGAAGTTGGATAAATCTTTCTGCTCCTAGAAAAGTAAAGCTCACGGAGGGAGGAGCATTTGATTGGGAGGGGGAGAAAAGGAAAAAATACCCATCACTACAGGGCTCTATAGGACTTCCTCCTGTGTATTATCCTGACAACAAATTTGCTCAGTCAAATCTTGGTTTTGATGACTATTTACTGTAGACAGCTAAAGAAACAGAAAATAAATTGCTAGAGATTTTTATGATGGTGCCCTCCTTCGTAAGGGAACAAATGATTCCAAACATTTGAAAAAATTTTCTTTGAACTTGGGATGAACTCCTTGCTCCTGAGTGCTCAGTGATTTACATCTAGTTTCCTTATTTCATACACAAATATTCCACTCCCTATGTGAATTGCAGTCAAGAGGCAAAAATAATACTGAATATATTTATACAATTTGTAGAATCGCAGGTTACTCATTTAAAATCTTTTCTACTAAAACGTTAATGTCTTTCTCTTCTATTATGTTTACAGATTTAACAAACTGTAGAATGATGCAACTCATTTTTTAAGAGCAGTCTCAAACTGTGTAAACCCACGTTTACCAAAACATTGTCCTTATTATTCCAACAGAGTCTGGAAATATAACAATTCAAGTATCCACTTAAGACTTAGTTACACTGTACTAGGTTTTTATAGCTATAGTGTCCTGAGACTTCTCTAGTTTAGCTCTAATCAGTCATTTCTTTTCATTGATTATCAAGGTGCTTGGTTCTGTTTATTTAATCTCTTTAAGAGTGATTATAGAGTTTGGACTTTTTCTATTTATTCTTGGCTTTGAGAGTATTTGAGTTGTATGTTAAACTTCAGAAATATACTCACAATATTGATGAAGAAATCCAAAGAGGAAATTTATGTTCACTTGCCCTATTCATGATCTTTACCCTATATTCACATACTTCAGGTGGAAGATGTAACCAATGATACTCAGCAATTAATTAATAAAGTTGGAAATAATAAAATGCCTCAAGGAATTTTATTAAGGGAATCTCTTAATAACATTACTTCATTCCACCAACAGTTTTTTATTTACCACTTTATTTTTCATGCAACAGCATATTGTTTTAATTATTTATGGAAACACTTTGTGATTTAGTTTAGTGTGGTAAAGAATATTTTAGAATGTTATATCTCTTCTGTGTAAATCCAACTTGCTATTGGACATTATACAGGAACATTTAATGTTATAATGGCATTTGCTTAAGAGATAAAACAGCATGAACTGCATTCTTTTGAATTTCCCTTATAGTCTAAAACTAACAGATTATTAGTGAATAACTTTTTAAAAATTAAAATGGAAAATCTGAGCCCATTTATTAAATTTCAAAATGTCAGAGAAGTATATTATGTTCTGTATATCAAGTAAAACTGTTCATATTTTTTCAACATTTGATATTATCATTCTTCAAATATATTATATATATATAGATGTGTGTGTGTGTGTGCGCGCGCGTGTGTGTGTGTGTGTGTGTGTGTGTGTGTAATTAGGCCATCAGGTCATAAGAATTTAATTAGTATGTCAGCTTTAAAAAAGAAAACATATTTTCTCCATTTGTCCTCCTTAGTAGCTATACTATTTAGAGAATGAATGCCTGATTCCTGGTCTTATCATCAGAGAAATCACAATTCTAGTGATACTGTGGTGAAGATAATGTTGATTTCAGTACTTACCCTACCATGCCTAAGACATAGATACTCAATAATATTGGTTCTTTGCCCTAATGAAAAAAATCTAATATATTCCAATCCCCTTTGTTAAGCAATTTATGTACACATGTGTATGTATTTGTATGCATTTGCATATATGCTTGTAAGATTTGGGACTGGGTCACTTTAGTGTTCTACTTATATGATTCCAAGACTAATATTTAATCCAGGATGAAAATTCAGTTAAAGTTGATTATTCAGTGACATGCAGTTAGACTTTAGGGTATTTTCTATAAATCTTTGTTTGCATTTACTTACTGATACAATGATAGAATGTCTTCCTGGAGTAGATGAGGCAAAGTTTCAGAAGCATATTCTGGAATGAGGTTCTGGACGACAGACTCTCCATGAAGTAGTATTTTAGCAGAGAAGGTGGAGACAGGTAGTCATCATTAGCAATTAGGTTCCAGAAAAATCTCCATGAAATAGGAATATAGGCTGTAGAGCAAAGATGCTAGTCTATGCGGTGCTTAAAAGTACAGGTACTTTTAGATCCAGTTATTAAAAAATCAGTGATTACTGAACCATCACCACAGGTAGTTTATACCCTTGGAGATGCTGATTGACCAAATCTCAGTAGGTGAGTCATTTAAAAGGTATTAAAGCAGGGCTGACAAATGTCTGGGGAAGAGTCACATGTACACTTGTCTAATAATCCCTGGAATAGCAGGTCTAAGTCAAAACTATAAAGATAAGACACTGATGATAGGATGATATCAGTTTTAACTCAATTAAAAATAAAATCAATAGACTTTCACGTTGCTTTGATTTAGAATCGGTAAACAAAATGTCACTAGATTTTGAAAAAAAAACAACAACCAAAAAACTACTAATGACAAGCAGACAGGAAGAAAAGACAATTTCAGACATGTTAAAATCCATAGACTACAATGCTCAGGGGGAGTCCTTGTCTTGAAGTGTAATAGCCAGATTTTGGCTGACTTGGAATAACAACTATAACTTTGAGAATGTTTCAGACTTTTATGCTTGATTCAGTTAGAAGGATTCTCTTGACATGGCTCAGTAGTTTATACACAAGAATATTCAGAAAGGATTTTCTTCCTTAAAAGTTTCAGAGAAAAAGTTAAAACCTTATTTTTAATACTTGGTCTTGTGTTGGCTGTTATATGTCAATATTAATTGTATATTAGTTTGTGTGTTCACGGCTATTTAATGTGAATATTGCTCCTGCCCCATCCATCACTTAGGAGCATTAAATAGTTGATAAGAGCTGGTTCATCTCCAAATCAAATCAATATGCTTCCTCAATTTATAATTTTGAGGTTTATTTTACATTAAAGTTTAATGATTATTTTACTCTGTAAGATATAAAAATTACTTCCAAATTTTATAAACAACATTTTTAATATAGTTAACATGTTGGTCAGAAATATCATTTTTACTCAATGAATAAATGTTTTTCCCTATATTACCCTATACATTCAGATATTCATGAAATAACTGAACTTTGTTAAAGTAAAATACCCAATAAAAACATTTAAAAATCTGCATGTTGCCAAATTACCAAGTATATAAATAATTTGGAGGGCTCACATTTGGTAACATAATTACGAATAATTTAAAATTGATGTCTGGATTTTTTTTTTCTTTTTGGTCCTCGGGATTGAACCAGAGGCACTTAACCGCTGAGTCACATCCCCAACCCTTTTTGAAATATTTTATTTGGAGACAAGATCTCTCTGAATTGCTTAGGGTCTCTCTAAGTTGGTAAAGCTGGCTTTGAACTCAGGATCCTCCTGCCTCAGCCTCCTGAACCACTGGGATTATAGGTGGGTGCCACTCCACCTAACTTGATGTCTGAATTTTATTGAAACTTTTATACAAAATTGATTTTCCAAATTAAACAAAAGGGGCCACACTCTCAGTTTTCCCCATTTAGCTATTTCACAGATCTGCTCCCATATTTTTGTGATACTAGTTTTGTAAGAAGAAAAATCTGAATCATTCTCATGGTTTAAAGTGCCTCGGGCCAGGGCTTGGGAGAGCAGTGGAAAGGCTATCTGCTCTCTCTTCACATTTGAGCATTGGCTGTTTTCTGTCTTTTGTGGATAACTGCACGGATTCTCATTTACTTTGTGGTCCATTTTTGTCTAATTCATCAATCAACTTTGGCTAAAGGTTACCTCAGAAGCCAAGCAGGTGTCATCAAAAGACACTTTTGTAGCAGATAAGTAAGTGTCAGTGACAGTGATGTCATCAAGCTCTGTGCTGAAATGGTCTGACTCCTTGATGACACTGTAATTTAGGGCCACACTGTAGTTAGCAGGCTTTTCTGTTGGCTTCTGCTTGCAGTTGCAGAGCTTTCTGAAGGCTGCACGGAATTTCTGGGACATGAGGTTGTAAATCACTGGGTTGATGGCACTGTTGAGATAAATGCAAATTCTGCAAAAGAGCAAGAACCAATTTTCTTGGAAAGGACTGGAGAGAAATGAGTTGACAACCACAAGAGTCCTGTAGGGCATCCATAAAAGGGCAAACAGAATTACAACCACTGCCAGCATCTTGGTGACCTGTGGAGAAAAAGAGAAAACGCAGCACAAACATCAATGAGAGCAAAGCCAAATAGTTTTCCCTCTCCCTACCCAAGCTTTGGTTTCCCAAGATGAAGTCTGAGACAAGGACTCAGGTGTAAGTCATTCATTTGGGAGGTGAACCCAGAAAGCAGGATTGAGGATGTAAGAAAAATGTGATAGAAGAGGAAAAGTCAAAATAGGGAAGGCTATTGAGATGGTTTACTCTGTAGGAAAATGTAGCCCACCAAACTCAATGCATTTCAGAACGAATCATGTGTCTGAAAGAAGAGAGTCTGGGGCATTTATCCACTGGCAGTCTGCTCCCATTTCTTGAAAGGTGCCCAAAGGGATTTGAAACCCTCTGTATTTCCATGACTTTCTTGCTTGGGAATTCCTAGGGATGTTAGAGAGAAACTTGAGGCAGAGAAGAGGAGATACATAGGGAATAGGGGATGCCTAAAGTGGGATGTTGTCTGTAGACAAGGACCATCCACTATAGTACCAGCTAGAATTAAAGTTGGACTAAGAGGATGTTAGGACAAGACACTGAAACTGTCAATGATGAGCCTTAGGAAATAAAGGTCCAAGTCCATCTCTTCTTGCCTTTTGTGTGGTCCTAAGAATTTATCTTAATACTTCATCTACATGAGATGCATGAAAATCATGCTACTGATCATCTTTGGTTGCTTTTCCTTAAAAGCAACAATTTATACATTTAAAAATAAATTTTCAATCTCTCACAGAGTTTGAAAGATTTCAGTTTCCTCAGGCCCAACTTCCTAGATGGGCTGAATGTGAAAACTATCAAAATAGAATGAACCGATCTTTTTCGTCCCTCATTGCTTTTAATTTCAACTACTGCAACAAAGTCCTCACCAGCAGCTACCATTTTGTTCTGGCATTGAGGGGGATTATCCTGCCCTTATGGCTTTTAAATTTTCTTTAGTGTAGAAATAAGCATTTTGCATTTAGAGATTTACTCTGCCATTTATATCTCTTCGGTTCCCACCCTTATATGTAAACCTGGTAATAGAAGCCCTGGTTCCCTGTGCTGGGTGTCTGCCTTGCTCCCCCAGCATTCTGAGTCTTCTGATCTTGGGCTTTGTCTGACACTTGACTATTCCTCTTGCATCCCATCTAAGAAATCCCCATGAGTTCTGTATTGTGGAACAATGCTACCCTCTTGCTGCTCTTCTTCCTTGATCTTTAGTGATAGCTTCCCTCCTTCCTCAGCTCTCCAGATGGAATTTCCTCCCAGACTTCTCCTATGGGCACACAGCCTTCATTCCTTTTTGAATCACTCTTCTTCCTCCTACTTCCCTGCAATGACACTGGTGAGCTATCCATCTACTTTCAAGGTACAGTGTCTGCTCTGCTTCCAGTCTTGAAACTCTTTCTGCTCTCCAAGAATGTGTCCCAGGCCGTCCCATCCCATCCCACTCACTGCTGGCTGAACTTTGTTTCTGACTCAGTGCCTAGAATATACTAACCATCCATATTTTACCACTGGAATAGCGAAGGTGTTCTTTGGGAAGATGTGATTCACATAACACCAGATGACACATTCCAGTGATTCGGAGTTCTTTTTGAGTTTGGGAGTATCCACGCAGTTTGCAGGCTAACTGGAACCTGATTTTTCTGAAGTAGACTTTTAAGATTGTACATAAATATTTTAGTTGGTCCTAGGAAATCCAAGACTCCACTCAGTGACAAATATTCTGAGCTTTGAGGGGAGCTATGGTGGTCATCACCTCATTGTCATCATCACCATAATCTTCAGGGTCACCCACAGCCCTGTCTTTATCCCCTGTCTAGTACTCCAGATCCTCTATCATGGGATCAGTGCTTTAATCCCTGCCTATACTGGAAGGATCCTACACTGGAATCCTTGCCTTGATTTACAATTAGATTGCTATTGTCACATTTGAATCCTTTAAAGATGGCCCAGGTAATCTGATAAGTACTATATAACTAGCACTTATTAAATGCTTATAATAACTTCATGGGTAAATTAGTTTTAGCTTTATTTTGCATATAAAGAAGTTTAGAAAGTTGAAGTTTTAGAGAGTTTATGCAACTTCTCTAAAAACACATGTGCAGTATAAGGAGTGTTATTCAAACCCAAGTCTATCCAAGGGAAAGGCCATGCTCCTTTCCTTCATAAACAACCTCTCCCACCCCCTCATGAAAGTCTTTTGCATTTCAACAAGGAGATTTTTACTGTGTTGTTCCCATTAGGGTCATCAAAACATTTAACTTCTTCTAAGTATAAACCCAACACATCTATTGCTACCAAATTTCAGAAGAAAAGTTGAACTTCATCGGCTTTACATTTTTCTCTACAACTGTCAGGTGAAACATTGAATCTGTATGTAACACCTGCCTGCATTTTTTTCACTAATATCAATGCAGGGAGCAACTTTCATTGTGTTATAAAAGGACAACCTGTCTCAAGTAGTCTGTCTCCTGTGTGCTTCTGTAGCCTCCCATGCATATTTTGACATCACCACCAAACATTTCATTGCAATGATCTGTATTTGTTCATTTCTCCCAACAAATGGTGAGATTCTTCAGGGCAGAGGTAAATTTATATTCACTTCTCTGCTCTCAGGGATTTAGTACAACATGTGACAGGAAGCAGGCCTCAGAAAAGTTGAATAAATTTGGGCATGGAAGGCATTATTTCAGACTATGTAACGATGATCATTTTCTAAGTTTTAGTATTCCAATGTACTGTGAGAAGAATCTGGCAAAGGTTTTATTTTTAATATTAAAAAATCTCTCTTAAATGAAGGTTAGATGTTAGTAACATGAAGCCTCGATATATTTAAACTTTTTGTTTGAAATAGAAGAATTTTAAGGAGGTATAAAATGAAGCAGATAACAATGATGTATCTAAGACTAAGAGGAAACTTGTCTCCAGTGAGATGATAGTGAATATATTCAAACACACCCATAATTTTCTTAGTTTATTTCAAATATCTTTGATTAGGTTTAATCATATTCTAAAATGTCCACAAGTTTTAATAGATTTCCTGCTTAGATTTTAACAGCTTTTTCTCAGTATAAGAATAAATTCCTAGAAAGAAAATATTCCAGAGATGATTTTTCATGCCAAATTAATTTCACTGTGGTTATTAGGATTTTATTTCTGCTGTTATTCCTTATCCAAAATAAAGTGATGAAAACGTAGGTTTAAAATTGGGCAATTGTTTTTCATTCTCTGTGCTAAGGCTTACAAGTCTTCAGAAACATCATGACAAATTGGGGAATGATCATACAGCTTCTATTGTATTTTAGTTTTTGGTACTGGGGATTGTTGCAGGGGTGCTTAACCAATGAGCCACATCTCAAGCTCTTTTTAAATATTTTATCCAGAGACAGGGTCTTGCTGAGTTGCTCAGCAACTCACTAAGTTGCTGAGGTTAGCTTTGAATTCATGATCCTCCTCCTCAGCCTCCTGAGCTACTGGGATTACAGGTGTGCACCACCGCAATGTTTTATTTTGTTTTGATTGTGTTTTTGAGATGAAGTCTCTATTGCTGCCTGGGTTGGTCTCAAACTCCTGTCTCAGACTGTAGCTGACACTACAGGCATGCCACCAAGCCTGGCAAAGCATTTTTTTTTTTTTTTTTAGTACTGGGGTTGGAACCCAGAATGCCACACATGCTCAGCAAGTGCTTGGCCACAGTTATACCTGCAGCTGTTGTAATGATTGAGAAGGAATTTATCCATTTGTTCCATGCATCCCTATTGTGTGTACTAACATGCTGGCTCTTGATGACTCAGCAGTGATCTAGAGAGATATTGCCAATGCCTTCGTGCATCTTAAATCTGGTGGGCAGTTACAATACAGTGTGACAAATGCTCAGACAGCAGGAAGTTTGGGTTCTATGAGAGCTACTGGTCTGGATTTGGACTAGAAGTGTGTTTAGCAAGGACTTTCTTGCCCTTGCCAAAATCTTAAGGTACAGAGAGACAGAAAGTTTGTCTCTGGTGAGATTTGGTGTGTGTAACTATCTGGAAGCATGTTAGTGGGTTGTATTATGGAGCCAAGAAATAACTTAGCATGCAAGTTTCAATTGCAGAACATGTAAAGAAGTGGAGTTCTTTCCCTAGGAAGCTGTGAAAACCACTACAAAAGATGTTATATGTATATGATGAGGTGATGAGGAGTATCTGGTCTGCAGTATTAGGGCAGAAGGAGAGACACTGCTGCCAAATGAACTACAAATGAGCTGCAGGGCAGAGTGCTGAGTCCTGAAAACCCCAGCTCTGTGGAGCCATTTTAGTCAACGTGGAAGCAGGCAGCCATTTGTTCAGAGTACACTGTCAGCAAGCAAATGAGTCTGTGAAAATCAATTGATGTAAACATGATGTTTAAAGAGGGAGACTGCCCTGAGAGATGGTTGAGACGAGCAGGGTGGGCACTGGTGGATCTTGGCAGGATGGGCCTCTGTCCTTGACCAACATGGCTAAGGGTTATCTTCTTAGGTGAGGGTCACCTGGCAATTTTGATGTTAAGCACGGCCATATATCTTTTACTCTTTACTGTATTTAAATAATACAATGAATGGCAAGAAATTCTCATAAAAGAATTCAGATTCAGTCCTTCTTTAGCAACTAGATAAAGATTCTATTCTACAATTTCATTTTTAAAGATGTGAATTGGATAGATTTCTATCTGATTGCTAAAATTAAGATTATAGTTCCACAAGTGGGCACAAGTACCACTCTTCATGTGTGTGCTCCATGGAGAAACAGTTTGTGTTCTTTATTCTAGTCAGAGGAGGAATCTTGTATTAGTAACTACTATCTGTGTTAATAGTGCTATGATTCTTAATAAAAGGTCTGAAACTATTAGCCAACATTTGTATATTGCCTTTTTTAGAAGAGTGTTAGATTAATTAAGATGTTATAAAGATAATGCAAAGAGTTTCTATATGTCTCACACCAAAGCCCCTGTATCATTAATCTCTTCCTTAGCATGACATGTT